ATGTTTACTTTTTACATATACACTGTCTATGGATTATTTTATTTCTTAGAATTTATTCAACGGACAAATACCGCGTACAGTTAAAAAGTAATGTGATTTTTCGCTGAGCTTGCTTCAGTAAAAACTGATGATTTTTCAACTTTGTTCGGTTGAATATTGTTTCTTTTTTTAAATTGTCGTCCTTTATGTTTTGTATTTTTATATTTATTTATGTATTTATATTAGTATGTAGCATATGCACCCACGCCCATTATTTAGCTGTAAAAATGACATTTGTGTAAACGTCAGAAACATGGACTTTAAGGATATGTATGAAAAACAAACAACCGGACTACGTATCGATCGTCGTCCAGGTACACAGCGTTTATAATTTATATACTTGTAATATTATTTACGCAATTAATATAAAACTACATTAATTGGCAGAGAAACGCGTACGGAATTATTGATAGTAATATTATCGTTCACGCGCAGTACTATTTGAAAAAATATTGATCATTACAGATACTCTTTCGATGGACTGCAGCAACAGGTCTCCGGACTGGTTTTTTTTCGTATATTTTCGATAGCCGTTTTGAAACTTCATTTTTTAACTTTCCATCGATTACACACAAATCGTCGTAACCCGTTCCGAAAACACCGCGACACAAACGTCATCCCGCTACATTCAACAATCGTTAAATTTTCTTTTTGCGTTTTTCAATCTTTCCTTTTTATTCGCTCTCTATTCTCGTCACATTTTCCTATAAACCGTCAACCTCCGATCGCGTAGACTTGGTCTCCGCGGTGTATGGCGACGACGCATCTAAACGCGAGTGAGATTTCATTTAGTACACGCGCACGCAGCAACGGGTTAAGGATGACGTTTAGTTAGGTATATATAAGTGTATATATAGGTGTACTAACCTGTGAGCGTGTTTTTTTTTTTTTTTTTCATTACTCTGTCGCGTCTCTGAAATGGCCGCAACCACCATCCTACATTTATACTGGTTTTATTATATCTTACGGAACCGGTTTAGAATACACACGTATATGTACGTACATACGCACATTGCTAGGTTTCAGTCGGGTATTACGGGCGATAAACACGGCTACAATTTTGTATTCCTTACGTCAACCTCTCCTTTCCGACTATCGCGTTCCTGTTATAAACATTATAAACTGTTATCAAAAAATAACCTCTTTACACTTACCCAATGGGCTTGCGTAGTAATACTTATAATTAGTCTTTTTTTGACCGTTTTGCCGTTGGTCGTACGATCATTATAATACCGCAGATTCATTTTTTCCGTGCGGCCCACCGCAAAAGTCGAACATACTGTACGCGACCTGGAAACCCGCGGTTCGTCGCCGATGTTGTGCGGAAAGGTAGATCTCCGGTCGATCCCTTTTTCCCTTTCTTGGTGTTCTGTTTAGAATTGCCAGAAAACTTTTGTTTCCAATACAATGGTTTCTTGGCCGTGTTTTAACATAAGACCGTTTATACCAGTAATATTTTGACGTACCCGCCGAATAATTTATAATGATAATTGTTACGTACCCTCGGCCTTGGCTGGCGCGTCTGACCTGACCTGCGGCCGTGTCCGTTCAACTCCGGCGATAACGAAAGGAAACTATGTAACGATCGAAAATACGCGTCCGCGCGAAACACATTAACAATAACAATAACACGCGTATGCACATTCTTAACGTTTTTCTACACCAAGCTCTCGTTCCCGCGTATTGTAAGAGGAAATAGATATTTCAAACAGAATTCGCTCCAACATCGTCGTTTCTCCTTCGTGTGCACCCACCCGCATAATATCTAAAATCTGACGGAGCAGAGCAAAGAAATGTCGTATATCTTTGCAAGGAAACATGTGTGTCTCCGTGAACATTTTCCAAGGGAGTCCTGACGAAATGATAAAAGGATAACGTTTATTATAGCTGAACGGTAGTGATTATTCCGTTATTTATAACCATTTCACAGTAGCATAGAAACGCACAATCTTCGGGTGGTTTTCTCCTTCGTCCGCGGTTCATTATTCAAGTGTCGTGATGATGTTCACAATTAGGATACGCCGATGATTATTGACTGCGGCGTATGTTTTTTGTTCGCGTTAGTATATTAAATGTGCGCAATTGAAACGAAGATTGCGAATTCAATTGCCACACGCGAATAATAAACAATTGTATAAAACGAAACGTATTAATGGTTCTAACTAAATTAATGACTATAGATCTTGTAGCTAGACTCCCGTCGCACACAAATAACTTAAGTGTATATTTTACTTTAATAACGATGACGATTAATGTCAAACAACTACCGAAACCATCACGTAAAACGTTCAAAACGAAAAACACTGATATGTGTGTTGTGTAAGCGCATAAATTATTAGAGCGCATGTATGTATGATTCATAAATGATTCTTATTCATATATAAGTGGATGAAATAATATGTTCTCAGAATAATGAATCAATTTTACTAAAATTAAATTATCACATTTGAACGTAGTATTGTAGTTTTATTATCGATTTGAATTAAAAATATTGATGTTCGTATATGATATATGATTTGCTAGTATATTCTTTCGAGAAATTAATGAAACATGAATAGTACACAGATTATTACGTTTATCAGAATTCATGTATTTTGCACACGTTTGCGACTGTTAAATAATGGAATTTATATATATACGAAGTATGTCTTGGAAACAAAAAAAAAATATGTTTTTTTTTTACAATCTGTCCATACAAATATTGTTATTTTATTGTTTGGAATTTGTAACCTCAACGAGATCTTTACGTAACCACTAGTGTTTACGAACACGTCTTGTATAACTGCGACTGTATCATATATACAAGTACATAGGGGATATACATGTAATGAGCGTTAATCAAACTCCCTGGTTAAAAAATCAAAACTTATCGATGGTTGGACCTTGGACACTAAAAGACTAATCACTTTTAATGATTATTAAACGAGTGTTGAGGCTAAACCTTTTTTGATATATATATATTTATACATTTTTTTGTTCATCTGTTGAATCCGCGTCGCCTTGTCTCCTTACTTTGTAACGCGTATATTATATATTATATTTGTTGTCCTCCATCTTTTGTTTTATAATATTATATGTATCGAATGTCCAGTGTATTAAAAAATAAAATTTAAAGAAGATATAACCATGAAATAACATTTATCGCCATCTCAATAAAGATAGATGTAGATTTGTCTAATTTAAATATTTAGTGTTTCCAAAGTCAAATAAGTACATATTTATATATCAAATCAGATAAAATGACTTGTTAAAGTATGCGTGTGTGTGTGCTAAATAAAACTTCATTTTTTAAACATTTTCGACGGAAACACGTAATTGATGGCTTTATATAGACAACGTGAACGTATATACATGTTTATATTATGTGAGTCAAGTGTTCGAACTAATTATCTATGTACGTCAATTAGGTAATACAAACAACGAACTATTCGGAAAATAATTGTTATTTCGTTTTGACTGCTGTTTTCGTAAGTGGTGTTGTATGAGGTAGATTATAAGAGGAATAAAAGGTAACTAATAGAATGCGCGTTACAAAATGCTTGATTTGATTCGAAAAATTATTTTAAACTATATACTTGCATTCAGACTTTCAGTTATCGGCTTATTAAAAAAATATACGATACCAAGTATTGTTATTTGTGCTCATGATATCATCATGATGTAAGTATTAAATTAGATTAGATGTACTTATAATTAATTGAGACTGATTCGGACGGAAATTACTATACCGTCGTCGTGTATGCATGACCGGACCGCTGAGGTTTTCAAAAACCTCTCACGCCATCCTCCTATTGTACTTTGACGTTTTTAGTTCTAACAAAATTATGCGCTCATGTCTCCCCCAGCGTACGCGTATTGTATAATACGCCAAATGTGCAATATGCGCCTATGTGTGTTCAAGGTTCAACTGACTAAAATAATTGCGTACAAATTAACGGTTAAAAATCGCGTTTTCGTCGCTCGGAAAATTCTCACGAACAACGCGTGTATCGGGAGGGGGGAGTGGACGCCATATAAAAATATGTAGTGGTTAGTACATCTCTATGTATTATTACCGATGTGGGCATTCTTTCGGTATTATCGATGATACTGCTACACGATGCTGTGTTTTCCTGTGTGAGAATTACTTGGCAATTTACTCGCGTTGTTATTATTACTATTGCTGTTGTTGTTGCGTTCCCGCCAATACTCCCCCGTCTTCAAATAACGCGACACAATAACACACCGTGGTCGTCGTTGCGTATTATCGTTCCTTAATAAATACACAACGGCACACTCACGTAACGAGCAAAAGAAAAACCGCCGGAGTTCGTTGACGTTCGCGCGCTACATTTTGTTATTATTGTTATTATTATCGAATTCCAGTATAAAAATCGACAGTATTTATTTATTTCGTGGTACCCGCCACGTTCAGTGCCTCCATACGCGGTATCAACTCGTATTCAACTCAACGATTCGTCCTTATCGGTCACCGTTGTGTCGTGCGCGGCTAAATAGGAATCGCACACAAAAGTCTCGTACGGTATTCGTTGGTGTATAATTGTTGGAACACTCGAGCGCATTAATACACGAACACACGCACGTGTAGTGTATAGATATGGGTATTCATGTTAGTGGGTTGTGTATGTGCGTGCGTGCGTAGGCAATTACATTTTGTTGACCGTATAGAGGAGAAATTATTAAGAACGACGACGTTCTGCATGATCAATCTGTCTTGGAGAGTTTTTTCTTTTTTTATTATTATTTTTTAGCACGTATCCTTCGCGCTTTCTATATCATTTGGCTTTCGCTCGTCCGTCCGTCGTGTCGTGTTTGTGTCGTGCGTGGTCTCCAAACGTCGTCGTCTTCATAGAATTTCTGTTTACGCTGCCTTTATGGTTTTTATGTTTTAATATTTCTCAAATACGTTTTGCACATGCCCCTAAAATGTAACTAACGTTTCGTTTTCGTTTCTTTTACAGATACATCGTACGAAAAAGCTTGTCGTCGAGGAAGTGCTCCCGCAACACCGGTGATCGGCAACACCAGATCGCTGGAACTCACGCCCTCCAGAATTGTGGTAAGTTATTCTATTTTATCATCTGCATCTATATCATTAGCTTAGCTTATTACGTCACTGCTACGATATTATTCGCATAAGTCTTCCGAGTTGTTATTTTTTGCTTTTTGTTGCTCGCACAAGATAAAAACGTATACAACAGTTTTATTCATTCTGAAATATGCTATGTTTCTTCTACAGTTATATTTTTCCTTTAATTCGTTTTACTATATTAATTAACAAAATATAACCATTCATTTCCTAACGTAACATAATGTGTTATCATACTTGAAAAATATGTCTGGTTCCAACTGTAACGTTAATGAACATAATAAATTATTTATCGTATCATAGTACCTAATGAAGTAATTCTTGTAACAAAAATGAATATCATGTGCTTTCTCGAAACGTTGAAGTACAAAATGTATTGGTGTACGATTAGATAGTGTTGATCTTCGTTCTTTAAATGTGACTACGAAAACAAGTGCGGTCGTAATTGGCCAGGTGCTATACTCTGTATGGGTAAAATGAAACGGTTATATATCCATTATATCGGACATGTGCATGTAGAAGTATAAAAAAAAATGAAAGGTGTACGTTACGTGAATATGAATATATAATAGAAATATATGCAAATTATTCTTCGGACATTCAAACAAATATTCGCCAGTAAAAACAAATAATAATAATGTGAAAGATACGTTCCACCAATGTTTTGGGATTTCGTGTGACTAAAATATCTTATAAATTTTGCAGACAATTTTTCTCATCTTTATTATAGTATAATAGTTTTTGATCGAAAATTTGCTGATGCTCACTGAAATTGCTGTCTTTTATTATATAGTTTAACCGTTAAGGCATAAAATATTAATTGCACAACCAGACAATGTGAATACATCGAAAATTTACTCCGGCGTCAGATAGTATGAAACGAGATTTTGAGATTATGACACAAGATTATCTTCTCAAAAAATATCATTAAGTCGTTTTGAAAATGTATTCGTAGTATTTGTAACGATATCTTGGTATTTAAGTGTATGTATTTATATATGCGTGCGCGTGTGTGTTAAACATGTCGTTTGTTAATATTATAATAGCTGTTCCAAAATGTTGTATATTAATTACATATTTAATTTTATGAAATTAATAAATTATCATCATGTTCATATTATATAATTCGTCGGAAGTTTAGGTAATTCCTTTGTTCGTGTCCATTCTCTTCCTGCAATTTGTATGCATAAAAAACCTACGCTAAAATACTTTTAACGTACTTTGGTTGTAGGTACATTTAATTTATAAAAAAAAAAAAAAAAAATGAATTAAATGGTTTCATACTTTACACTAAAAATAGTTTTTATTGTTATGAAGTTACAGAATTCACATATTGAAATTTCGATAAAATATTCTTGTAGAATACATTTTCATATATTATAAAAAAAATATTAATATTTTATATTTTGACCGTTTCACGTCGACCCGTGTCAATTATAAATAAAGCAGAAAATAGTATAAATAAACGTTGTTTTTGAAGTAATAGCTTAATTTCAATAACCGTGACCGTGAAAAATATTTAAAGACCTGAGAAAATAGCAAAACAAATGTCCGCTGTTATATACAGAGTGCATCAAAAGTCGGTTTCTGAATTTACACAACAAATAAATTGCAACAAAAAAAAATATAATATTTTATGTATATTTATTAATAACGACCTATCTGAAATGTTTAATTGCATCGATAGTCGCCGGGCACGTATAAGCATAGTGTACATTATTAGAGAACCCAATGAAAATACTGTTCTACGATTGGTTGTAATCCCAATGAGATAACGACTTCGCTATCAACTATCTGAATTTCATAATCACGAAAATTATCAGTTATCAAATTTCTGAATTTTGAATATTTTAAAAATGTTTTAATGCTTTTAAAATTTTAACTTTTATTTGGAATTTGAAATTTGACAAAATTATATTTCCAAAAAAATATACAAATGACGTTGTTGAAGAAATTGGGAATACCGTTAACATCAGATCAAACATATCATATGTGGAAGATATCATTGAAACTACTACTCCAGTATTCCGAATGGCCAACGAATTGTTTGCTAATAAAGTCTTTTACAGTTTTTTTTTTCCTTGATTTTTACAGACTGAACAGTTGTACAAAATTTTAATTTATATTATTTGTTGATATGATTATATTATTTACAATTATTTCTATTATTTTTTATTTTTACTTATCATAACTAACAAATTTTTTTTGAAACAATGTTATATCCTGAAATAAAAATTTGATATTAAATTTAAAATATATAAATTTATCTACCAAATAAAGATACCAATTTTTATATTAGATATTGTATATATACCTTAAGGGTCTTATAATACATAACTGCATTTATTATTTTATTTTATTAGATATTAATTATTAAATATTTTAATAAATAATAAATAAATAATTTTTTTTTTTTTTGGAAATATAATTTCCGTGAAATCAAATTTGATAACAGATAATTGATACCGAAGGTTATCTAATCCCATTGGGATTAGAGCCAATCGTAGAATAGTATTTTCATTGGGTTCTCTAACAATGTACACTATGTTTATATGCTCGCCGGGCATATTGATTTCCATATTCGGTAAGAGAGCGCCACTGTCTCCATGTTTTCTGGTGTAGTTACTGGTCGCGATGCGTCTGCTACAGAACCCGTCCGAAGAAACTTGTTATACATTTTTATCACATTACCACGAGACGGTACTGGTCGATTCGGAAAGCGTACCTGAAAGTTAGCGAAAATCGTGGCATAGTCAGCATCCAATCGCAGCTACAAAACTAGTAAAAAAAAGTTCGTTCTTCTTTTGCAAACTTACCGTGTTGCCGACTTCCATGTTAATCGCGAGTAAATGAATAAAATTGAGTAAATTACACGCACACACCACACGTCCGTACAACATACTATGATAGTTTTTCCTAAAGGTCAATTAATTGGACCAATAATACCTGCCTCTATTGTTTTAAGTGATAATCGCAATAATTATTATACAACTGATTATTAATTTTAATAATAAGCAGTTTTTCGATAATAAGATAGCGGGAACCGACTTATACCGCATTCTGTAATTATCCTATTATACGATTTCCGATCTCTTAATTTGTATTTAAAAATATTTAACTCTTTTGTTTAGGGTAGAATGTATCTATATGTAATAAAAATAAAAAAATTGTTAAACACATTTTTTTATTTTTTATTTATGTTTTTCGCGTATTCGTTTCATAGGCATACATCACACTAGAGAGTCGACATTTCATCATGACATATATTTGCTGTGATGCGTTATCCGCATGTCCGACCATAATACAATTTCAAGTTAGACTAGAAAGTTAGGAAACCCTCAATTTCTAGTGGGTATCACTTCCTATTATTTACCAGTTGTTAGTTATTATTCTTAAATAGTATTTCAGTTTAATAAGAGTAAATTTACCGAGTAATATTTACTATTTTGAACTATGACACAATGATAAAAATATTGTACAATAGTAATAAATTAAGCAGAATTATGATTTATAAAATCCCCACTATGTACTCTTATATTATAATGCGATAAAACACGCGGTGATAAATTTAATAATTGCTATTATGCCGTTTTAGAAGTGTTATTGATTATTATTGTATGGTGATATTGTGTTTGCTACGAATTCAGGGTTTCCTAATTTTTTAATAGTAAGATAACTCAAATATGATAATGATGCTATTACTTATTATATTGCTGCTATAGGTTTAACTATAGGATATGGACGCTTGTCTGATTATTATGACTTGGATTGGGTGTAGGTTAGTCGGTTAGTTATTATATTATATTAAGGTAACGATGATGTGCCATGGATATCATCGTGAGCCAGACAACAATAAATTTGAAAACTTCGGGGGAGGGGCGGAGGAAATGTGTTGAAAACTTTGAAAATATAATTTTTGGCTGTGGTAGATCCGTATGAAATGATACGTATATTGTATATTATATTATATAGCATCTTGTGCGTTGAATAATTAAATAACATGACTGGTTATTAATACAAATGATCGAGAAAATGTCGTCACATTTTAATTATTGTAAATTAAGCGTTATATCTATCATCGACATCGACTGATGCACACAAATGCATTGATGCGGAGAATGAACACGTCCTAGCGAGTGTCGTGAACTTATTTGCTATACTTTTTGATTGATTTGTCATTATTGTTTACAGAATTTCTTTTCAAAACGGTCATTCAGATCGAATCCGCTGAAACGGACAAAGAGCGTGACGAAGTTGGAGCGGAAAAAAGCGCTGGAATCCGATGGGTAAGGGTGAAAACACAATCATGTTTTAAACAACGTGTTTTCCAAGCAAATAAAATTTAATTTATTTTTTTTGATCATAGAAATGTTCTTTTCTCCAGAAATTCCAGTCCCGGCTGCGTAGGCAATGGTGGTGGACCCCGTCTGAGGACGTCTCGTTCACATGAATCGCTCTTATCCGGCCAGTCTCAGAGCATTATGCAATCGTTAGATTTGAGTAGCGGCGGCGTGGAAATCAAACCGCTTCATCCGTCTGTGCTGGGCCGGGAAAACTGTTTCCAGGTTACTCTACCTGCGGGGAACACGAGGTACTTCTCGTGTCGTACAACAGAAGAACGCGACAAATGGGTGTACAGGTATGTCGGTTTGGGGGTAACGGTCGCCGTGTGTTGTTCTCCGCGCAACTGTTTGACACTTGAATTATGTATATAATATGTGATATTACAGCTTGAGAAAATCCGTTCAACCCGATCAGGAGCACATACGTCGCACGGAAAATGCTCTAAAAATATGGATTCTTGAAGCCAAGGGGCTTGCCAACAAAAAGAAGTATGTAATTGTTAAAAAAAAAAAACATTTTCATTTATTTAATGTTCTTTAAAAATCAATAGTTTTTTTTTTTTATTTCTAGTAAAAAAGTATGTGTTATCATAAATAAAATTCTTATAGTTTTATACATGATATTGACGGACCATGCTAACCGATCTTTACTGTATGAATACACTCAAATTCCAATTTCTGCTTAAACCAAGTATCTAGGTTTAATATTTGACAATCGTTTCTTATAGAACTTTTATTTAATGCTATAAACTCAAATCTTTACTTCTAGTACAGTACGTTCTAGTTTCCCTTTAAATGAAATGAACAACTCCACATACCACTTTTCAGGTTCCATATAATTCTTCTAAACCATTGAAAATCAAAACTATTCAAACATTTCATTTCTGAGACATCTAACCATAGAGCTTTGGTATATATTTTAACTAATTTCTATGTAATTTTCTAGATCTTTGATTTCTGATTCTAAAAGAATTCCATTGTTTCCAATCTTGCTATAATTCTAATTCCAAAATATTTACCTTGACATTTGTAATAGAATAATTGATGGGGAGATCTATTAATAAATTAAAAACTTGACTATTAAACTAAGCTAGGTGTTGTTTTGAGTGCCTCTATCTCCTCTACATTTTCCTTATGTAACATATTATTAAATAGTTTTCAACAAACATAATATTTTAAAAGAAAAAATATATTTTTCACACAAAATTATTTTGAATATTATTGTCTCTTCCCACAAAATATATTTATATTTTTACTACTGTTGCACAATATCTGATGTTGACATTTTTTTTTTTTTTTTTTTTTTTTCCCCATTAATAGATACTTTTGTGAGCTGTGCTTGGACAAAACGCTGTTTGCAAGAACCTCGTCAAAACAAAAATCCGAGCTGTGCTTTTGGGGTGAACATTTTGACTTTACCAGTTTGCCTCAAGTGAATGTTATCAACATACATTTATATAGGGAAGGTGAAAGAAAGAAGAAGAAGGATAAAAGTTTCTTAGTCGGTATGTTGCTATTCAATAATCATTTATAATAATAAATATTATCCTACATTTTGGTACATAGTTACTGTAAAATACTAAATTTATACTTATTATTTATATTTGATTATGTCATTACAGGTACTGTAAGTATTCCTGTACACGATGTGGCATCTAGATTCTTGACAGAAAAATGGTATCCAGTAACCACTGAGAAAAACTTAAAAGATCCTCCATCTTTAAGAGTTAAATGCCGTTTTCAGAGTGTTGATATTTTGCCTGTTCAAATTTACCAAGAATTTTTACAAGTATAATTTATTCCTATAAAGTATTTTCTTACCATTATTTATATGTATTCTTTTATTATTCTTATGTTAATTAGTATTTGAGAACGGATTATAAAACCATTTGTGAAATATTGGAACCGGTTGTTGGTGTCAAGGCCAAGGAAGATATTGCTACTGCTTTAGTACATGTCATGCAGAAAGAAAATTTGGCTAAAGAATTTTTATCAGATATTGTAATGATGGACATAGAAAAGGTTGAAGATGATCGTTTGACATTCAGGGGCAATTCATTGGCCACTAAAGCCATGGAAGCATATTTGAAGCTAACCGGTGAAAAGTACTTGCACGAGACTTTGAGTGAACTTGTGTCAAGTGTTATGCAAACTGGATTTGATTGTGAAGTAGATCCTTTAAAAGCTGGCAGTGCATCTAATTTGGCTAAACAACAAGCTAATTTAAGACAAGCTGTTGAAACTACATGGAATCGTATACTTTCTTCTCATACATCATTTCCATTGTAAGATATATTTATCAAACATTAAAATACAATAATTTATTTGATTATATTTTTGTTTTTTTGTTTCAGTGAACTTAGAGAATGCTTTACAAAATTCCGTGAATGCATGAACAGTACTGGGCGTCATGATATTAGTGACAATTTAATATCGGCCTGTATTTTTCTAAGATTTTTGTGCCCAGCAATCTTATCACCTAGCCTATTCAACATTACTCATGGTAAGTTAATGTTAACATGTAATATGATCAATTTAATTTGATGTATTTAATTTTATAGAATATCCTAATGAAAAAGCAGCTCGTAACTTGACACTGGTAGCAAAGACATTACAAACTTTAGCTAACTTTACACGGTTCCAAGGAAAAGAAAACTTTATGGAGTTTATGAATGACTTTTTGGAACGCGAAGCAGCTTCTATGAAATCATTCTTGAAAATCATATCTGTTAGTACATCTAAACTATGAACTAATTATTTATAATTGATTAAAAAAATAAGTATTGAATTTTTTTTCTGAATTCAGAGTCCTATACCTATTGGTTATTCAACACCCCAAGACCACTCAACTGAATTTGATGGGCACATTGATCTTGGCAAACAATTGAGCATACTTCATACATTATTGATGGAATGCGTAGAGAAAATTTCGCCAGTACGTCTCCAAGAGGTGGAAAAGTTGCATTCAATACTGGAAAGAATACAGATAGCTCTTGCCCAACCTGCTGGAGTTAGAACACCTCTAAATTATACTGAAAATCAACAATCTAATAACCAGAGCAGCATTTATCAACCAGTCCAACATCAAAACATATTTAGGTGTGTAGGAACAAAGTTTCTCAAGTATTAATTAATTAGTACATGATAATTATAATTTTGAATGTTAAATATTTATTTTTATTAATATTATTATTGTAATGTTTTTTTTTAGATATAATGATCCAACATTGAAAGACAATGCTCAACGTTTGTACGGATCAACTCAAGGATCATCATTGAACAGCACAAATAATTTGGTCGGAAGTTCAACATTATTGTGTGATAAACGTCCCAATGCTAATCCAGCACGTGCATCAACTCTTCCTCGCAATGCATTCTTTTCGTCCAATCCTGGTTCACCTAACTTACAACTTTGTCCAAAGTTAAAATTTGATGAACCAGTTTCTGCGTACAATGGATTTACTACTAACCACAACCTAAATCATAATGGACATAATTCAGATGTTGAAATGGACCAGCAGCAAAAAGGAAGCCAAATGTCAATATCCACATTATCTAATGTAGCGTCTTCAGGTTATCAAAGTTTTGCGGCATACAGTCAGAGCTCAAGTCCAGTTGATTTAACTAACAACAACAACAGCAACCATACCAATACTAGTTCTACCAAACCTCCATTAGCTAATGGTAGTGCTGCTTTACCACCATTAGCATTTGTCAATCCTGTTTACCAACACCATCACCACCACCATCACCATCATCATCATCAAAGGAAACAAAGAGCGCGATCATGCAGTTCTTCTGATGACGAGAACACTCCAGTTAATGATAAAATAGCCCAAGTTGCTCCAAGGTTTCTACCACCTCATAGGGCTCCAAGAACTAATCCCCAGTGCAATGGTAGTGGTATGGTAAGATCATTAGCATGGAAGTGGTCACCAAGTAAAGTCAACGGAGTCAGCTCTAATCTAAAATGCTCTCCTGGTGGTGTGTATAAATTAATTAATTAATAAGTTAGTGTACCTAAATATATTACTAGATTAAAAAAATCATTTAACTTTTTATATAGATGTAAAGAAATTGTGCCCCGCTGAAATGCCTTTAAGAAGACGTGTGTCTATCGATTCTAGTCGTGGAATGTCTGAAGATTCCTCTGATGATGAAGATACAAAAAATCAAAATATTGCCAATCAGTTGAAAACCAATTGTTCCATTGAACAGATAAACGTAAGTTATAATTTATTATTATAATTTGTCATCATTATTTAATTATTTTTAATTTTTACAACAAATATAGTACCAGAAAGAAATTGAACGTCTTCAAACAAATGTACAAATACTGAAGTTGAAGCTTGAACAAGCCGAACAGCAATTGGAATCTGAACCAGAATCATCTGAGATCATTGATAACGAACCTGATAATATGAAAAATATAATTGCTAGGTATGTTATATATGGTCTAATCTGCTAGACATATATGTTGCCCTACTTCATTGAATCATGTTAACATTCTTCCCTTGTAATTAAGGTTGATGTCTGTGGAAGACGAACTGAGACGCGAACAGCGCAAAATGTCCGACACACTGACTCACAAGCAGCGGGTTATTGAGGCACAAGAACACCAGATTGCTGCATTGGATGCAGCCAATAATAGGTTGTTAAATGCTCTGAGCCAGCTGAAGGAACGGTACCAAATGAACAATGGCAAAACCAACAACACAAGTCCTAACATCAACCATAGACTGCTTGCTGAACTCGGTGAACTCAAGAGCTCTTCTTGTTAAAATTATGGTGTTGCACTCTATGTATTCCTGGTGTATTCTGTTGTAATAAATTGAAAAATTTATTATTTCATCTGAAATTAGTTCACGGTTCACATGTGTTTCCGCCCTTCATTGGATATATCACATTATATCTATGCCAAATGCATATAAAATAAAATTATCAAATTAAATTACTAATTGCAAATCATACTAAAATTATTATCAAGTATTATTAACTTTAATGTGTTCTTATATAATATTGTATACATTTATATTTTTTAAAGTAAAATAGTTAACTAAAAATTTCAAATTATTTTAAAATATGGTTAATTCGAATTTATCAAAACATTATTTTAGGTTTTTAACATAAATGTATTTTTCCTCTTACGTGAATCTTTTCTTTTTTTAATTTCATTAATTACGTATATAAAACTATGTAGATGTTAAGCATATTGTAATTGTTAAGTTAGCTGCTTAATGTTCCTTTTAATTACTTTTTAGTTAAAAATTATTTATAGAGTATGTTTAATTTCATAAACTGGTAGTTATTATTTTAGTGTGTTTTATAATGACAATGATTATTATTTATTTATTATTATTTTTTTTTTTTTTTACATTCTGTTAGAGTTATGTTGTTGAATTGTTTATTTTTTATTTATTTTTCAATATTGATTTGGGCGTATCAAACTTTAAAACGAAATATGTAATGGTTTTAATTTTTTTTTTTCGAGAATAAGTTTTGTACCAAAGATTATTATTGACAAAACATTGTATTAATTCTAAAAGGACTGACGAATTATACAATTTTTATCCTTTTTTTGGTGACATTATACAACTTAGTTTTTTTTTCTACCTCATCATAGTTGATAATTACCACTAGGAAAAGTAATTACTGATTATATAAACTTACTCGATTTATCAGGAACCAGCCAAAATGGTGAAAATAATAATTTTAAAAAATATAAGTAATTTTGCTTAAGGCCATTGGGTACCAGTCAATTTTTCCATTAAAACTACCTATTTAACTTCAATTGTTCTGATCGTTGTATTGAAGCGATAAGACTTCTGAAAATATATATGAATTCGGCATGAAGTCTACTTGAGATCGGTCGGATTACATTTTTTTAATTTTGCCCTCAAAAATCACAAATTTTATCTCGGTTTTTTGATAAATATTAAATTTTGTAGTAGTGTTTAAAAAACATTTTTAAGTACAACTGAAAAAGTGGTCCGACCGATATCAAGTAAACTTCATGCTGAATTCAAATAAATTTTCAGAATTTTTATCTCACCAATACAACGATCGGACTGATTGAAGTAAAACGAGTAGTTTTTGAAGGAACAATTTTACGAATCCTAAACAGTAACCATGCGTACAGACTTGTGCGTGTGCGTACGAGAGTCACCTCGGCTGATTTTTCTAAGAATAAGATGTGCGCTCTACGATAATGCGATATCCGGTTTTATACACAAATAGGTACATTATTATTATAACCGATATAAATAATTTATTATTGTGAATGAATTGAACTAATGAAGCTTGATGCAAAACATTATAAAATATAATTCTGTGTTCGACGGTCGACGTCATTCGTCAAATAAACAGCAATAACGAACCACGTTTTATTTTATTTCCCGTTTATTTTACACGTTTTCAGTTATAAGTAATTGTGTTTTTTGTTTTAATTATTGATTGTTTTAAATTTAATTATAAACATGGCAAATTGTACCATCAAAAAAAAAAGCCACCGTTAAGTAGAAGAAGAAAAAATAAAGGAAATTCATTGACACTGTTACAGAACCAACGAACATCTAAAATTGATATGGTTGGTGCTCTATACATTAAGAACTGATTTTTTGATCAAAAAACCGGGTGTCGGTGAACTGGGCACAAACCCTCTATACAACATAACATTTTTATAGCATAACAATTTCGATAAATTATTTATTGATATTTTTAAATTGCACATTTTAGATTCTGAACGGAGTGAAGAATGTATTGGTTTTACAGTGATGTGTATTTTTATTTTATTTTTGTGTCTGTCGACACGATTTGGGTTAGTAAAAATGCTTCGATTTCCTTATGTAGCAACTTTTCTGAAAGGAAAGTGACTCTAGTTGGTACTTAGGGGTCAAAAGTAAAAAAATTTCAACATTTTTTAAATGCGTCGGGAAAGACACTAAAAAAATAAGGGAAAAACGGGATTTTTTACGCAAAACCAGTTTACGACAAAATCAAATTTTTATTTTGCTATAACTCAAAAACTAATCGATGTAAAGTATTTTGACTTTTATTGAGCTATTTATAGACAATTGAAATTTTCAATTTCCTTAAAAATAAAAATATACGATTTTTTTAATTTTTTTTTTTATAAATGTTGATAAAAAAAATTTAGCTCGGACAAAATACTTGAAAATTTAATAGAAGGGCCCACATAAGTTGTTCTAACTCCCATTCAAAAATTATAAAAATACATAGGCACAAAATTTTTTTATAAGCGTTTATAAGTGCTAATATTGACAAAATTCATCAAAATCATGTATATTTGCTATGTATTTTGTAGGTAAAAATTAATAAAAAAATTTTTTTAGAAGTTACCAATTGATGATAGTTTTGAAAACGATTTTTTACCGTTATTACCAGAAACTATCATGGATGATAGTTGTGATGGTTACAATCTCACATTGTCTTTACCCAATGATTTGGATGATGAGGATAACAATAATAATAAAAATGTTCTTACTGGTCGAAGAATTATTAATGGTGAATACTTTTTGAATAGTTTACAATCAATTAAACATGAATTATTCGATTGTAGTATTCAAAATCTTGTCTTCAAATCAGAAATACAAAAAGGCTTTTTTTCTGAATTTCATTTTGAATGCAACTTATGCAGAAAAAAAGAAGTAATATTTTCCGAACCTCCAGACATAATAACATCTTTGTCTATTAACGCTGCAATTGTTACTGCAACAGTAAATACTGGTCAAGGATTTACAAACTTAGAACAATTTTCATCCATATTAGATATGCCATGTATGAGCAATAAGACTTATCAAAAATTCCATCAGGTTTTATCCAAACAAACTGAAAATACAGCATGGGAATCTATAGAGCTGGCTGGTAAGGAAGAAGCAAGACTTGCTGTTGAAAACGGTGACATAAATATTGATGGTATTCCTATGATCACTGTTGTGGCAGATGGTGCCTGGTCGAAACGATCTTATAAACGTAATTACAACGCATCATCTGGTGTTGTAAGTATTATAATATATTATAAAATATTTTTATAATTTTTTTATTACTTTAATATTGTTAATTTGTTTAGGCATGTATTGTAGGTTACCGAACAAAAAAAGTATTGTTTATTGGAGTTCGCAATAAATATTGCAGTATTTGTCAAAAAGCTTGTGCAAATAATAGAGACCCACCTGTACATTTATGTTACAAAAATTGGAATGGTACTAGTACAGCGATGGAAGCTGATATAATAGTTGAGGGTTTTCGACAGAGTATTTCAATGCACAATATAATTTACCACAAACTTATTGGGGATGGAGATTCTAGTGTCCTGAAAAAAAATAATGTTAGCAAAACCCTATGGTAATAACTTAGATGTAAAAAAGATTGAATGTGCCAACCACATACTCCGAAATTATTTAAATAGACTAGTAGATATAGCGACTAAACTCAAAGCTCTATCACTCATTTGTTGCTTAAATATCTGCCAACTACCACATGTGTCGTTGAACGAAGCTTCAGTCAATACAAAGCATTAATTATAGAATAGAAATATAGAATTAGAATAGAATTATTCTATAATCAATGTAGAAAGCCATACAACGATCTAATCGTCGATCATTCATTTTCGAAAATTTAAAAAAGTATGTGATCGTAGTATGTAACACACGTAGTGAATGTGAAGTATAAATTTTATTTTATTTTATTTCTCAATTGTATTATATTAAGACTAACAGCTAACCCCTGATCTATTTCAATAAATAAGTATTTTTGTGATTATCTTATAAAAATGTAAATGCATATATTTGCATATTTTGGTAAATAAAATGCATTTTTTAATATTTTTTATTGCATACAAATCCTAGCCCTGGTAATAAGTAATAAATAACCATAGGCGAAACTACGGGTCAGACCAGTCAGGTCATGGCCTGACCAATTGCCTACTAACGAAAAATATTTATATAATATATATTTTAATAATTATTTACACATTATAAATAATATATGTACTTATACATGTATGTAAACGTATACAATTGTACGTTTCATATAATACTATAGTATAGTACATAGGTAGGTACAATTGGTACAAATAAGGATTATAATAGAACATAATAAGTCTATTCTATGTATTCGAATAATCGGTTTTATTAGTTGTTTAATTTAGACATTTGACGTTTATTTCTATTGTTATATTATAAGAAATAATAGTTAATTTTACGTAATAATACTTTTTATATTTTTCATTAGGCCTGACCTAATAAAAGTGTCTAGTTTTGCCTATGGTAATAACTAGTGCTTATTTTCATAAGTTAGTAGATGATTTATTTTATTCATTAGTTGTTTTATTATTCATTAGTTAGTAGTTAAATTGACTTATTCTCTTATTATTTACTTCCCTAGTCGTTAGTCATTAGTTGGTGGGCACTATCACTAGTCTTGAATACTGAACTGATACCGTATACACGGAAAATTTAATATATAACTATTTGATCAATTAAATTTTAGAACTTTTCTCATTAGAGGATTCATATGCACAGTGGCATGGTGAACTCAACAATTTTCCGAAGCAAGTATGTTGTATCGATACACGTGCGCGAAGCCAGGTATTCAGCTAGTATATATTATTTAATATCATAAAATCAACAATTGCAATTAGGTACTGGTCACTTAATGGACATACAACAGGGTAATAAACCTGACCATCATATATCAAGTTATATATCAATTATAAAAGCGCATGAAATTTGGCTAAACAGGTAAATAATTAATCAATAATTTATTAATTAATCAATAATTTATTCTATGTAAGCTCACGTCAAACAGTTAATAATAATAAGAGCATGCATTACCATAAACTTAATATTAAAAGAAAAATTGTATCAAAATTAAAGTACAATAATATGAAAAATAGTTTGAAAAAAAAACAGAATTATTCTTAAAGAATAATTAAGGACAAAAAAAAAAAAAAGCATTTATTAGTATTTAAATTTGTACTTTTACAATATTAATAACTAATAAATGTAGTTATATATATATAACTATACATTTATTAAGCTCAGTCAAGTTATATATATATATATAAAAAATTTTCATTAGTATTTAAATTTGTACTTTTAAAATCTTATTAACTAATAGATATAGTTATATAAACAATTATAAATTTATAAATCTAAATATATAATATTATCAGAACTATTTAAGATCAACAGCACTCATAGCCATGGACTACAATTAGTTAACTGTTTATTATTTATTATTGGATTTTTGATTATCAGATATTATTTTTATATTTTAATTGAATATCAAATCTAGCTATAGCTCTGATAAATATCAACTGAACAACAATATATAATTATTAAAAATATATTTACCTATAATAAAGTGAAAAAGTGTATTTTAAAATATAATGGAACAGAATAAACAATATGGATAAACAAAAAAAAAATAAAAAAAAAATAAATAAAAATGGTGTACAATTTTACAAAAAGTAGAGAAGCTGGTTTAATCCAGTATTTGGTGTTCCTCTTAATATTTGTGACGCGAAAAAAGCTAGCTTGTGTGCATATTGACACAGTGCAGGAACCCTCACAGTACCCTAAGTATAATGTAAAACAATCAATTAATAATAAATAGTTTTTATTTCTTTTTATTAATATGACTGCCAATCATATATATATATATACACATATAATATAATCATTAATATTATTAAATAAATAATCACTAACCGACCAATTGAAGTACATATGTGTCAATTTGTAAGTAACCTGTTGCATTTTATCAGGAGACCAATCTTTAAAAGTATCTTCAATCACATTATAATGAGTAGGTGTAACCGTACCTTGACCTACATGTTGTGAGATGAGGTAAAAATCATACCTGTCAAGCATTCAAATATTATTTTAATTTACTGTGAATATACAAAACCAAAGTAAGTGCCATTAATGATAAAATAAAATGTTAATTATATTTGTTATTGTTATTTTATCTAATGTTGCGATTTAAATTTATTAAATTAATTAAAATTAATGCTACGGAGTTTTTACTTCTTTAAAAAATATACTTAATCTATCCTATATCTGGGATAAAATATATAAATTTTAAACACATCTGCGTTATATCAAGTTTACTGAAAATATAAATAGTGCAGTTGCACTACACTATATAGGTTAGGCAATACTTTATAGTTTATATTGTTCATATTTTGTCATGAATATTTTTAAGTTGTATTAATTCTATACAAGTTAAAATGTATGTATGTATGTTGTTTATATGCGTATTCAACAGTAATTCTAGAACGCCTGAAGACCTTTCAATAAGTTACATCAATAGATTTGATGGGAACTGTAAAGTCTCATAGACAATAACAATTCTCAAAAATTCATGAACTAAAAATTAAGTTTAACTTTATGATTATTCCATTTGTTGCTAAAAGCAAAATTTCCAACTTGGATTTCACTTAGTTTTGTGTTCAAATATAATATATTTTGTATGTTACATGTTAATAAATATTTGTAAATATATATTTGATTTCACTTCACCATTTAAGTCTTAATATTACTCCTCCATTTAATTTATCCTATTCCATAGAAACTAATTTTATATGATTTTTTAACATTGAAATTTACTTTAGTTTTAAATGTTAAAATACTGTTCAACAAAATTATACTATTAAAATATAGACAACTGAAAAATTATTGGTTAGTTAATCAAAAAATAAAAATAAATTGTAATGTAGGTGCATATTAATTACTCACATCGTAGGATCCGTAACAACACTATCAATAATTGTTCCTGGAGGTGGATTTTGAGGGTTTTGACCACTGGTAAAAAATCTAGTACTTATACGCTTTTTAACAATAATAAATGCCAATTGAGGAGATTCTTCTTCATCCTTATAGAATTCTTTACAGACACTCTACAAATATAAAATAAAATTTTAAATTAGATTAGGTTTTAACAATTTTTACAGAAAATAATGTAGATGGATAACCTTTCTACAGTTAATCATAAATAAATTTAATATTAAATTTCAAATTTTAAATCAATAAAAAAATGCATTACTTAAACTATTATATAAATTAAAAATATAAAATTACTATTTAAAATAAGTACTGACCTTAATATTTGCAAGTTCAGTTTTATGTACATATGACAACTGACCATCACCTACACCATCTCTATAAATCATAATGCCAGAGGGAAGCTTATTATTATGAGACCTGTATGCATGTAAAACTTCTAAAATAACAAAGAAAATACATGATTTATATTAATTTTTTTTGAAAATAACACGAAAACAAAAAAATTATCATTTAATTAAAAAACTATAGTTTACTTTAATATTTGACTCACCTAATAATAGAATTAATCAAATGTGATTAAATTTATCATAATTTAGGACATTTAATAATTAAAAGCAAATAAATAGAGCAGGTTCACCAATTTAGGTACCTTTAAATGACAATAAATGAAGATTGGGATCATTCATTAGAAATAAAATGAACAATCGAAATAGCTAGGGAAGCATTTTGAAAAAAGTCAAAGGTATTCAAATGTCATGTCTGTCTTTTGCTACAAAAATAAAAATTTTGAAATGTTATTTCTTCTCTGTATTATTATAAGGAGTTTAAACCTGGACACTAACAGAATCAACAGATAAAAAAAATTGAAGCCTTTAAAATGTGGTTATATAGGCGGATGTCATGGACAGATCAAATTATTTACCTAAGGGTACTGAAAATTATGGTTAAACAGAAATAATTATTAACCACTACTATACAAGCTCAGAAACTTGAATATATTTGACACATTATGAGAAATAATCAATGATACAATATACTCCAAATTATATAATAAGGAAAAATTAGAGTCAGAAGAAGACAAATATCTTGGCTAAAGAATCTATGCGACTTATATAATTCAACATATATACAGAGTAAACAGGAAACCCTGTCTACTATAACTTTTTGTATTGATATATCCATGTTAAATATTTGAAATCTGGATATTGGTAAACCCTACACATAGAAGAAGAAAAAATTGAAAAAAGTAAACTTGTCCTAATTAGTACCATATAAGTGACATAAAATTAAATTAATATATTTAATAGATTCTTTTAAATAGATATTTTTATTTTTTATATAATAATTACACAAAAAATTGAACCACATATTAGAATAAGTAATAATTTTTTATATGAATAATATATGATTAAAAATATTGCTTTAAAATTAAAATTAAATTGCAAATATGGGTTTATTTAATACAAACATTTTGGGTTGACTTTTTTGAATCATTTGTTTAGTTAATTAAATTATCACAATACAATTATAAAATTATGATTACTATAAAATAAATGGTATAATGTAAATTCTTTAATAGCAAGAAAAAATAAAATAACATCTTACTCGTCATGTTTGCAGTAAAGAAATCTGACAGCTCCTGTCCGCTAACATGTTCTGTCACACAACTGTAGTAAACAGTTTGCTCATCATTAATGGAAGCTACTAAAGCACCAAACGATTTATTTTTATTTTGTTTATCATGGCAAACATCGAACCCTATAATCAACATGTTCTGAAAATATCAAAGTAATTACATACAACATATTAAATTTATAATTAAAATCTAATACTTTTCTGGGAATTTTAACCAGCCATGGAGCACATCCAAGTTTACTGTTAATTTGTATAGCGATTTTAGTAATCACTGACAAATTGTTATTTTGCACATTCCTTAAAACAATTACTTGTGATGGAACTGAAAATAAATATACTCATGATAAAATTTGGTATATTAATTTTATGTTAAGGAATATCATTTAGTCTAAAAAACGTTGTCTAATATTAAAAATGAGAAACACAAAAATTATATTGAAATCCTGATATAATAAAAATGATGCACCTTCAAATAATCAAAATCAATAAATCATTTATCTTAATATTACAAATAATAATATAATTAATGTTAATATTACAAATATTAATATACTTAATGTTCATACTAAAACCAACTGTATATAACATTCAATTAATTGCACTGTAATTACCTGCTCTAAATACACATAAGTGGCGTTTAATTGCACTATAAGTATCACCACGATTAGATGGAATTATGCACATAATAAAAGATGGATTCATTCCATTAATTGCGTTCTCAAATGCATCTGTATAAGACTTAATAGTAGGGTTTGGAATAGGAATTCTAAAAATTTAAATTAAAATATCAATTATATTTAAATTTAATCATTATTTCATGCTGCATCAAATTATTTTATAGTTAAACTTAAAAAGTATAAGTAGATTATGCATAAATTTAAAAATGTTTAAATAAAAAGTAAGCAACACTTACATGTCAGGTCTTGGCAAAAAAAATGACATTGCATCTGATACCCGTTTAAGAGAACCTAAAAATTTCTGTACATCAGCCATAACATTTTGTGGAGCTACTATAGCCCAACGTTTGATACTAGCAGAAGTGTACATTGGAGCATTACGTAGAGCATTTGACCAATCACCTCTATCTCCAGCACTAAATTGATGTGTATTACAAGCAATTTTTTGAGGTGGTAAAACACGACCATTAATATTGACCAGATTTTTACCAGGTTCTAAATTCCAATTTTTCAATGTTTCTACAGACTAAAACATTAAGAAAAATAATTAAGTTAGTATTTATATGAATTAATAAAAATTAATTTACCTTAGGAGTAGAAAGGAGACGATTCATGAATTTATTGTATCTAATAATCCTTTCTCTAGGATTAACTCGTGTAAATTCTGCTAATTCTCTCATCATCATTCTATTATCACTGTAATATATAGAAATATAAATAGTATAAATACATATTGTTAACATTCAATAAATATGTAAAATAAATTTTAATTATACATAAAAAAATACTTAAAAATATTTATAATACTTGTGCGTACATATATTTTTAAAAAAAGATTTGTTTGAAAATGAGATGAGAGTTGAAAACTAGCAACCGAACAGAAAAAAAAAACGTAAATAAATGATATGTAAAATAGGTGTGAAAGTAAGAGGGGTTCACCCCAATCAACCATGAAATATCAGAACATTTTATATAAAAAAGTGACTTGATCTACAAATGTAAGTTATTCCAGAGTTTCAGTTTTTTCAGACTTGCAAATAAAATATATATCTTATATAATAAATAAAAAAGCATGCTATTTATCAATATTTTACATTTATACTTCTTAAAAACCCCCATCCCAACATTTTTTCCTGAGTTCGTTCCTGGTGTATAATTAATATTATAAGAAATATATATTTTGTACTTTATATTCATGATTAGAATGAAGATTGACTTTAATCAGATGAAATACCATAACTAAAAGAATGAAAAAAGCTAATATAGACTATGTAAATTGAATGAATTATCTAAAAAAAGAAAGTTGTGATAAAAAAGAATATTTTCGATTAAATTGAAATTGTACAAAATTATTAAAGAAAAAAATTTAACTTAAATTATGATAAAATAAAGTATGTATATACTGCTATAATACATTTTAATATATATTTGTTATGTATTTTAATAAAATGAAGCCCATTAATTTTAAATAACTTCTAATATTGATATATTTAGAATGACTTACCTCATACTTTGAGAAAGCCCAGTCAGAATACATAATTCAGGAATTAGATAAATTGCTCTATCAGTATCACTCTTATCAAGTACATTCTTTTTCTTTTTAGAAATTAACAGAGGCTGTCCAACATTTTTGAGTTTAATGTTCCATTTCTAAAATTGAAAAATAAACTGCTTTTTTAGAAAAAATACTTAAATACGAGTACATATTATAACTGTTAACTAATAAGTCATAAATAATATACTTGATGGTAATAATCTATATATGACATTTGAGTTCCATCTTTTTTTGGAAATGTGGACTTAATGGTGCTTTTATCATCAACATCATCAATTCTATATGTTTGATTATTATAATTTGTAAGAACTGTTGTCCCAATTACAGCAGCTTTAAATTTAATCTAAGAATAAAAAAAGAATTACAAATATTATTTTCAAATGTACACCAAAAATAGGTAACCAAATATTGTTCCCATAATTAATATTCTACAAATAACAACCTATAACGGAAGGACCAATGTCATATTTGATATAAATTTTTTTTTTTTATTGGAGCATGAAAGAAGTATGGCACATCATAAATTATTATTTTTTTCTTACTTTATTAAATGTAAATCAATGGAAATTTTGATCTGGAGAAAAATGAACAAAACATCATGGATTGAAAAGAAACAAATGAGTAAGTGTTAAATTACGTATGAGAAAAACGGGATATAATGAACACATATTAAGAAGGAAAACAAATTTAATAGGACACTCGTTCGGACAAAACACATTTATAAGGAATATTTTTGTGGGAAAGATCTTAAGGTACGGTGTCCAGGGCGCAGCTGGCCTCCGCTACAGTCACGGTCACACTGGTTTTTACGCTATTCTTATGGACTGGTATCCAATGAGCGATTGCGGCTTTGCAACTATGAACAAGACGCTGCGCGGCTCTACCCGATAAAAAACAGTAAATAGCAACATTCGCCAGCGGCTTTTATATTTTATACTAAACTACAATATATTTTAAACTTCATGATCGAATCACAAAACTAAGTGGTAATAAAGTGGTATTTTTGTCTGATCAAGAGGAAATATTAACTGAAAAAGTACATAATAATCCTGCACTTGAAGACTTGTCAAAATCAAGCCACAAGGACATAATTCTGTTTCAAGATGATTTGGTTAGTTCAAACTTAACTAAGGATAATAAATAATCAAACTGTTGATGATTGACCCGAAAAAACTCAGTAAAATTTTTTTTCATTATTTAATTAATATCTTTCAATTAAAATATCAAAAAAACCTTCAGTCAGTCTAATTTATATGTAGTTTTGGACCAAATACTTTTTTTGGAGTATTATAAAATATCTTATCAAATATTCACCTCAAATATTAAAACTTATTCCAATTACTATAAATGATTAATTTTTCTTCATTGCTCTTGATATTTTTAACTTATACTCATGTATTATGTATAAAATTAGCATACATCATCATAGCATTTACATTAAGTTTTAACTGAATAATATATTGGTATAATTAACAATTACTTACAAACCAGTCCCTATCACGATGACTTTCTCTCATGAATTCTTGAAGTAAATCATAAACAGTTTCCTCGCGCATCACTTTGGTGGATATTTCTGAGCGGAGTAATAGTCCACTATCAAACATCCCAATTGTTGTCTCATAACCAGGCCAAAGTTGGAGTCGTAATTTTTCTATGCAAATCTAAAATTAAGAATATATTAGGACATATAAAATAATAAGTATAATCAAAAATAATATTTAAATATCACATACAAAATATTATAATCACTTTAGAGGAATATGCATAAAAGGAAAAATATAATGACAAGTCGCAACTTGTCAACTCTTAGATTAAATGAAGACCATTTTTAATTTATATAGAATTTAATAATCTTTGACAAAATGTCCATAGTTACTTTAGCCACTGGATCATAGTAGTTTCTTCCAATTAATTTTAACTCTAAATGTCTAAGACAATTTCGCAACAATAAATTGAAAACTTGGAGATATGCATAATCACCAGGTTCCAATACAGAAGTATATGTTACAGTTATAATAAATATTTGTCCGTCTGAATTACGTTTTGATGTCAGCTCAAATTTCTAAAAAAAAATTTTAATTACATTAAACACAAATTATTTTAATTTATTCTCAACTTGAATTAACAAGTCATATAATTATAATCAATCATATATATATATTAATAATAATTTACAAATATTAAAAACTTACATCTGATTTATATTTTTTACTACTAAACAACATAGTACCCTCAAATAAGTAAGCTCCTAAAAAATCTTTATGATTGCTTAACAGACCTCGTCGAACCATAACTTTATCTTCTTCGGGACTAAAGTCAACACGATACTGATATAGGGTCCAATTTGTATAAGTTTTGATTGGAAAATAATTTGATATCAATGACACTGGTTGTCCGGAGGCTCCTGAAAAATAAGTAATAAGTAAATTATATTCTATACAATATTTATATTTCTTTTTAAAAATTTATTTATATAATATTGAATAATATATTAAATGACTATGCACAGTGCTTGGAATTTTTAAACAAAGTGAGGAAAAATTTTTTTTTATATTCATAAATAGTTGATAAAAAATTTTAAAATCTCTAAGTTTATATTTTTATAGTTATAACTAGGGCTCAGGACTTATAGCACATAAAATCATAGCGTTTAAAAACATCATTATAAACACTAAAAGAAGCATTTAAAAAATTTAAAATTAAGCAAAAATATTTATTCAAAAAAAAAAAAAAAAGAAATTATAAAATTCTAACTAAAAATCAAACAAAATAAAAATAAATCTTCACTTTCAAGACTTTAAGGTTTTTATTGATTTTCTAAAGGATTTTTCTAAAAAATAAAATGTAAACGGTTTTTTCTGTTTTTGATCATTCTGACATTTGATACTCAGTTCTATTTTCAGTGTTGGAATATTTTTGTTAATGCTACAACGATGCCTCAGATGGCGAAGAATTACGTGACATTATAGAAAAGATAAGAATTATTTTTATTTTTAATTCTATCAAAAACGACTTCGCAGGAGAAAACTATAAAAAAGTAAAAAAAACTGGTCAAAAAAGCAATTAATCAGAAAAACTAGAAACAAGCATTTTTTTTGAAAAATTGGAGAAAAAAAGGGCACTCTCAAATTTTATAATTGTATGTGTTATAACTTGACATACACTTCTATAGCACTCTGCTACATTTTAAGTCAATCCATAAAAATAAGCAAATGCTTTAACTCCCGAGCCCTGGTTATAACTAATGTTCAACTATTTTGAGATAATTTTTATACAATATACATTTTTAGACATATTAAGATAAAATAAATATTATTATACATAAATATATTAAAATATAATGATGACTATTTTCTTAAAAACCACAACCCTAATTACAGCTTTTATTATTCATTATTTTACAATTAACTTAAAATTAATACAAAACTAAAACTAAGTACAGTAAGTTTTTAATTCATTATAATATATAATTCACATATACAAGTAATAATTCATAAGCCATATTTTTGTTTAAATCATACCTTGTTTTCCAGTTTGACTTTTAGACGATTCAGGTCTTGGAGCCCTATAGTAGGAAATTTGAGGAGTAACTATTGGTTCCCGGCCCCGAATTGCTCCACGACCAATTGGTATTGGTGTACCTTCAAAACAATAAATCAATATATTAAAAAAATTTAAATAATAATTTTTTGTTTAATGTTTAAGCTTCTTACACATTTTCATTCAAATAAAATCATTTTTAAAAAAGCAAAGGTATAAAATTCCCTATAACTTAAATAAAAAAACTAAAAACCAAGTATAATAGTAAATTAAAAATAATTTCACTAATAAGAAATTTAAACTTTTTTATTAGAAAATAATATATTAAAATGTCTTATATATTACAGTTAAACACAATAATGTTACATATTCTGAAATTTTTTGGTTGCATAAATTTTATTAATTTAATATATTTTTATTAACAAACCATAATATATGATATACATAAATAATTTAGTAAAATAAATATAAAATACTATCTAAGTACTGTTTTACACCACAAGCAGATAATTAATGTTATATAATATTTATCAATAGATACCTGTTTCCATTTCGGAGAATTTAGTTGTTACTTCTTCAATCTAAAAATAAGGTTACGTAAGTATAAATATTTACCAATTAAATTTAAAATTATAAATATATTTATAAATTCAGCAGATGGTAAACGTAAAGAACTAACAGAAGGTCTTGATGTTCTTGGTCCAGGTACTCGTGGCACATTTGTATTTCCAGACCGAGGTTGTGCAGGTCGAGGTCCTGCAAATCTTGGATTTCCAGCCTGTGTTGGTGACCCTTGCTGATTTGCTGGTCTGATTGGCTGAGATTGCCCACGAGCTAAGCCTCTCCCTCTGCCTCTAGCTCTACCTCTACCGTCAGATGGATTCATAGTAACTTTAACTGTAAAACTAATATACAATTTTCAATAAAAAATCAAACAAAATATAGTAGTACAATACTTCAAAATGAAAAGAAAATTACTAATTAATAAATATATTAGAATTTTCTTCAAAACATTTTAATTCCATAAATAACATTTATCATGCTAAAATGTTATTTACATTACATTTATGAATTATCCTATTCTAAAGTAGACTGAAGTAAAGAATAATCTTATTAATAAGTTGGTATATTTATCACAGATACTTATTCTTGTTCATTGGTGTACACTAGTTACTTGGAGGATAATTCCGAAGTTAAGTGTTGCGCAACATATGTCAACCACGAAACTTACCAAGTTTAATCTTCAATTTAATATTATTATAGTCTAGAAATCAGGAGTTTTTTGAACGATTCTAGTTTAGCAACCTATCGAGTTTTTTAATTTTTTTTTTCCAAAATGTGTGTTTTAGGGTGTTTTATAAGTATATAAAAAAAAAAAAGAAGCCCGGATAAACTTTGTTTTGAAGTTATTGATGAAAAGCTTCAAAAACTTGAAGTGATGTACTTTGTGATATTTTTGCCTTCCAAATTATGATTCATCAATTTCAACAATTGACCCCGGTCCACCTATATACGAAGTATTTATGAAGAATAACTATTAAACAAATGTTTCGGCACTCGTTGCTACACTCCTCGGCGCCGTCGCTTTGTTCCACAAATCGAAAATATCCCTCAACTTGCTATGCAAATCCATCTCAAGTAGGTAACAGGGACAATAAAAATGTTAATATGTGAAAATTAAAATTAAATATTCAATTCTAAGTATTTTAAAAAAAAAAAAAAAAAATGTGCGTTATGAAAAAAATGAAGTTTTTGAAGTTTTTCATCAATAACTTCAAAAAGAAATTTGTTCGGGTTTCTTTTTTAATATACATACTTATAAAACACCCTAAAACACACACACATTTCGGAAAAAAAAATTAAAAAAATTAATAGGTTGCTAAACCAGAATTATGCCGTTTTTTTAATATTTTCTGACCGTACAAATGAATTCCCACTTCTAGATTCTAGGAGGGAATTAAAGTACATACACATATTGTCCATGAATGTATTGGTATTTACAACTTTCTAATTGTATAACAATAAATATAATAAACTCACCAATTTCCGAAACAAAGATAAATGTGAAAACCAATTCTCTATTAACATTTTGCCATAGAATATCGAAATAAGTTTAAAAGAATAAAAACGTCAATAATAACTTCAAATTATTTAATTAGTATATTATTAAGTTATCACGATTGTAGATAACAATAAATTTATCTGTTTGCAACCATATTATTCGATCAGAGAGCAAGATAAAACTAAGACCCTATAATTAATTTTCGAAATTAATATTGACACAATTTTTTTTTTATTTGAAGTTTAAACAATTACAGTGGCTTTTTTACCAGGATTTTTTGCTACGTATGGCCAATTGGAAGCCAACAATTATAAGGTATGGCCACCAAAAATGAGATTTCAACAAAAAATAAATAAATGATAAAAAGAAAAACAATTAAAATGAACTAATTACTATATTTAAAAACTTTAAATGATTACAACACTATAACAAAGCTACTTCAAAATATTACCATTATTTAATATTTTCTGCTTATGAAAAATGACTGATAGGGTCAGGCATTTTTAGGTGGGGTTATGGCCCGTCCCTGGCGCCGCCAAAGCACAATTATATTATCTTATAAAATAAATATAAAATAACAATGAGGAGTTTTTGTTACAATTATTTTTCTCACTGCACAAAATTTGCCTTACTACACACTAAAAATAACACTCCTAGAAATATACAACGTATTGTATATAAAAGATTTTTTCGAATAGAAAAACACCCACCAACACTCTTGACCGACCGTCCATGCAACAATTGGATCTGTATGAATACAATTCCTAATATTTTCTTTTCTCATTACACATGCACATTTTTCAATCTCGATATCACTTATCAGTCTCAATGACTGAAAAAAAAGTGTTCAATATTATAGATCGTCTCCCATTGCCAGAATCGTATTATACTTAAAACTGCAACTACACTAACTACAAAGATACTTCTGTAATATGAAAAGTGGTACTGCCAGAATGTGTCATTTTACACAAATACCTTGCCGTCTGTGCCATGATCAAGAGCCCAGTACGCGAAACAGCTGGATTACGAATTCTAGTAGAAGTGTGCGGTCCATCGACTACTTATTTTCATATGAGTATAAATGTATTAAATGTATGTATACCCCGTATAAATGTGTTTATGTCATAGGCATGCGCAGATTCTTGTTTCCGGTGTGGCTTTTATTTTTTTTGATCATCCACCACTTTATAAAACAAAAAAACTTAAAAAAAAAATAAATATATATATACAAAACATCAGTAAGTAGAAATAAAATTTATTAGAAAAACTGATGTACAATCTGATTATCAATAAACGCCAGTCCCGGCAATTTTTATTTTTTTGTAATTTGATAAAATTGATAAAAAAAACATGATTTTCCAAAAAAAAAAAAAAGTTATTAGCCCTTTTTACCTAAGTACCTGTACCTAGAGTGCCTCGATAGAGAGAGTGTGGTCATACGTTATCACAAATTTGATTGGCCGAATGAATTGGTCGCCATTAGTTTGCTAACTATATTATGATAACAGTGTTTTTATATTGTTGTCAATGCAATAGATGCAATCTAATTTGGATTTTTTCAAGATATATAAAGAATAGTTAGATCTTAGAATTTTTTAAGCGTGAATTGAAAATGCCTGGATGTGCTGCAATCAATTGTTCCAATTCTGTTACAAAAGGATTTCTAATGAAGCATTTTCCTAAGGACAAAGTTAGAAGAAAATTATGGTTAGTTAAAATGAAGAGGGATAATTGGTCTCCTACCAACTATTCTTGTTTATGTGAAGTGAGTTTCAATTATTTTCTTAATATTTTTTTACATAAAAAGTTACAAATATTTTGAATTGCATATTTATTATTATTTTACTCTCTTAGATCCACTTTGGAGAAGATATGTGGGAAAAAACACGTGAAGATGGAAGTCGGCGGTTGAAAAATGATGCTGTGCCAACTATATTTTCTTTCACAAAAGAAAAAACAAAAAGAAAACCCCCTACATATAGGCAAGTAACATCTATTATAAATAATCAAGTCTCAAAGCCACAAGAAAAATTAAAAACTTCATATCAACAAACTCGTGATAATGATGATGTAAGTTTAGATAATAATTTGGAATCAAATAATTCAGAAAATCAGAATAAAATGAAGTATGAAAGTATGTTAAAAAAAATGTTGGAGTATGAAAAGGAATACAAAAGAACAGTTAGTAAAGCAAATAGATATAAAAAACAATTGCAATATTTGAAAAATAAGTTAAAAATAAGTAATGACACAAAAAATACTCAAATGTTAAATTCAGTTTTTAATATTGACCAGATAAATGCATTAAATAGAAATTCCACAAAATTTATGAAATGGTCCAATTCAACTGTAATGAAGGCATTAAAGCTAAAATTTAGTTGTGGCAATAATGGGTATGAAGAATTACTTAAACAAAATATTCCTCTACCATCTTTAAGAACAATAAGGAGAAGACTTCAGCATTTAAAGTTTGGTACTGGCATTTTGCATGAAGTTTTTAAATTTTTACAAATAAAAATTGCTTGCCATGCTTGATATTTTTCCTATGCTTTACTTATTTTTAGTGGTATTAATTATTTTTATTAGATAGACTTTGCTTTTTTATTTTTTATATATACATATAAGATATAATTTGTTTTGATTTTTTAAATATATAAAAGTACAGTTTATGTTAATTGTTTTAAATATAGAAGAGCTTATAATAATTATACTTGTCTGTTACACAATATTAGCACTATTTTATTATGCTTTGCTTACACTTATATTTCATAAACATTGATTTTATTTTTATATATATGTTTAATTTACAGATGTGCAATTACTAAGGTTACCATATAAGCCTGAAGAAAAAAAAATAGAGGACAGTTATTGAGGCATAATTTGTAAAATTAAATAAAAAACACACATTGAATGATTATTCAAATTAATCAAATAACTAATTGTACCTACTACCTAACCTATACCTACCTATTAATTATTTTATTTATAAATAATTATAAAGCTCCCAAATGCTTTATTTTAGTACATTATTTAATAATTAATATTATAATGTAATGACTATGTCATACTAAATACTAAATTGGTAATAGTATTTAGCAAACTAATGGCGACCAAATCTCTTATCATATCTTATCAGTCCGTATGGCCACACTCTCTCTATCGAGGCACTCTACCTGTACCTACCTAGAAAAAAGTCTCAGGTATGGCTATAGCCCTATAAGCCACACCCGTGCGCCATATTGTGCAATGTATTGTGCAACCATATTCGTTGTACAAAGTGTTATTTTAATTCAAGTTGTGTGTTCGTGTTTACACGTACGATTTGATCAGCGTATACAACAATAATCATATCGGCATATTAAATTACCAAAGTAAGCTCTATCACTATATACAATGAGCTCACATAACACATGTTTATTTAAATTTGATAAGTAGAAAAATTACATAGTCTAGAGCACGAAAAATGAATGTTGGTCCCTGCGACCCATTGATAAATACCACAGATAAATAATAAGATATTATAATAATAATATGTTACTATATAAATCTGTGGATCATACCAGACATTCTAAATATTGCAGCAAAAACCAGACAATTAACCATAGTAAATTCATCAGTATTATGAACTTGTATTAAAGACGTTTTATAGATTATTAAATAGGTATATATTTAAAATTATACCGTGATCTAAATACAAATCATAATCGAATTTTAATTTATATTTTACAAGTCTCGATGTTGACGCATTTCCCAAAGAACCACAGATGGTATGCTAAGGAGCCGCAAATTCCTGACCTCTATTATATAATATATTGATTATAATTATTTTTCAACCATTGCTATATATTTCATAGAAATTGGCTAATGACTTTTAAAATACGAATTTATTTTGACGGAACAAATCATTTTTTCCAATCTTGTAAAGTAAAAATATGATTTATAATCCTATTAAATCAGATTAAAATGTACTTTATTAGGAAAAATTACATTATGTATTATGAACATTATATTTCACGCTTAATTGATGATTGTTTGTAATTCTATTACTTAAAATTATATTATACAGGCATAGGCGTGAGCAGACCTGTATTTTAAGAGGTGCCTTTAACAGAGCCGTCCTAAGGATTCTTAAGGCCTGGAGAAAATTAACTCGGGGGCTTCTCAATCATTACAATAATTTACGAGTATGAAAAAAAAACTCATTAAGTTTGTATTGGTTACACGACCAAGTAAACACTAAATAATATTGAATAAAATAGGTCATCAGCAAAAAAAAATCTTGATATGTCTGGTATACACGATACGTAGAACTTGTCAATAGTACTTGCACTTCGCTACTTTTCACTAGTAAATGTAACGTGTTTCTATTCATTGGCATCAGTGGCGTATTTGGGATAATTTTTCAGGATATGCAAAATACAAAAATCTCTTACTGATACAATGTAAGGAAATTTAAATTCAATAGTTTATTTATTTTTTTATTAGGTTAGGATTTAAGACACTGGTTCAAATTTGTTCATTTATAATCCGAAAAATATTATCATAAAATAAGTATAATAATAGTTCTTGTAAACTAACGTTACATTCATATACGAATTGTACAATGACCTGTAACCCGTATACGCATATGTATGAAAGACATGATAACCCTATTTTTATATATTTTTAACACATTTTTATAATAATTATAATGAATATTTTTATACTTGTGCAATTTTAAAATGTATTTAGTTTTGTTTTTATAAAATAATGGGCGTAATGTGTTATCATTATCAAAATAAAAAAAATGTAAGGCACTTTACATTTTTTTAACGTCTTAAAATTTATATTAATTTGTCGAATATCAATTGGTTTTTTAATCAATATTAATAATTCCATTTATAATCAAATATTAATTAAATATTAAACAAATATTAAATTTTGATTATTTTAATCCAGTAAATAACTTGATTCTTTTAATTGAGTAAATATTACGATTATTTAAATCATTCGTTTGTTCCTATCACTAGTTAAAATAATATGTTCACATCGTGACGGGAAATCAAAAAGTAACCAGCAACATGTATTCGATATACAGCTACAGAAAAAAAGCGACTGAAATCCGTACCACGGGATTTCGATTGGCTCAACAATAAAATCAGAATTTAAATATTCGGTTATGTATATCGGTATGATTAGGTACAGGTTACTCACCAAATCGACAGAAAACCAAATCGCTAAACACGTACAGGAAACCGGAGTCGAACAAAAAAAAAAAAAAAACAGTAGGCTGTCACCGGTGACGTAAAGCGGATGACAGCTGCGGTGAACTGCTAATCGGATATTGTTATCAAAATAACGGTGAACGACGATAAACGAAATCTATGTATTTGGATTAACAAAAACTATTTTTTTTTTGTACTAAACAGTTCCTGAAATGGTCTGTACGAAGTGCGAAGAACAAATGAACACTGAGCAACGAGGTTAATTACGAACGTTGCAGTCGAACGTCGTCGGACCGTAGCGCCACCTACAACGAAATATTTCTTGCACGTCCCACCCGTGAAACCTGTTCGACGAGTTCGAAATATCGAATGCGCGGACAACGTGTCCTTAGTAAACAGAAATACATAAAATATACAATTGTAATAAAATAATTGACATTGTGAGGGGTGTCGTACCAACCAAATATTACGGCCTAAAGAATTTCTAATTTCAAAATATTATTAATATTATTATTATATAATATTTTCAAAAATCAGTTCAATTAATATTAAGGACGTTGAATTTTTTTTTAAATAAAATACACTAAATTAACCGTTGTAATTTTTAACATATAATTCAACTACTTTTATTTTTGCACCCATCTTAACATTCGCTTATTAGGGCTCTGCTTGTGGGTAATGTCACCCGAGCGCCGAAACAATGAATCCGTTTACAATTTAAACAATGTTTATCGAAAAGGTGTTCCGTGAATATTTCACATTATTTTTCTAAATGTACTAATAAAGTGCATTTTTTCTTTGTTCCAATCGACGTGCACAATACTGTGCTGCGATCGAATATACTTTAAACTATATGCACACACTAAACCCGAAACGGCGGGACCAAACGAACCTGAAAATATTCGGGCCAAATTTTTTCGTATATTACTTCATTCATTGTCCTCGAATTTACGTATTGTGATTTCTGCGATAATTTTTCGACAGTGACGAATTCAGTGTACAGTTGCCTAAATTGTATTAATAATATTGTATTTTAAATTATATTTAAAATATGGACTATAATAGTTCTTCAGATGATGAATGAAATTCTTTTTTAGGGCGTCGTTCATAACCGCACACTTTCAAAAACAGGTCGTCGTTCAAAACCGCATACTTTTATATCTTAATCCCACATATGTCTGCCGAATTAAACCGTTCAATACCGCACACATTGATATATATCAATAACGTATACAATTATCTAAAATAACATGAGCGCACCTCAAGACCGGGCGGGGTTACTCGCTCGCTACGCTCGCTCGGACAGTTAAAAACGAAAATATCCCCCGATTTGCTATGCAAGACCACCTCAAATAGGCCACAGGATAAAAAAAAACGATTATGAGTGGGAATCATACGAAACGGCAACGTGAACCATACATGCAAAGTATGCAAGGAGAAAGAACTGTTTATCAAATGTGTGTAGTTTTAAACTATTAACATTTCAAATTTCAAACAATAACATAAATATGTGCGGTATTGAACGATGTAAAATGTGCGGTTATGAACGGTAAGTATGCGGTTTTGATAACCACCGCTTTTTTATTAGAGAGCTCCTTTATTAAATCTCAGAAGATATATTGGATGCATACACGTTGGAAACAATATGATAATAGTGGTGAATTTCAAAATATGTGGGCTGTTTTAAAAAATTACATATCCAAATGTTATGATTGCTTTCGTATGGATATATCTTTGACTATATTTTAACGGCTATCAAAGACGATTTGACAAGACACTCAAATTATGGATTATATTTTAGTATTTTAGTAGAAAAATCCGTGGTAAAACCAATAAATTCTTTGCAAGAGCGTAGGTACAAATTATTTATGGGGAGGGGTTGATATATTTAATTAGTAATTATTATTATTATAAGCTATTTATTTGCTAGCTGGGACTTTGTAAATTGAAGGGGTTGAACCCCTAATTCCCCTTAACTAGGATTTTGATTCCTCACTTTACTCAAAATGTAAATGGTACCATGTTAATAAATATTGTAATGAAGGGGTTATGGTGGATGTGGGAAATTTTGTTGTGCGTTAAATATCAAATATTCATAGTAGAGTTAAGGTTTTTAGTTATTTTTTCATTTCGCTGAATATTAGAATAATTTCCTCTTACATTACATTTATGTACAAAAATAACGAGAATTATTTTATAAATTAATTATACCTTTTGGTGAGACCCTAAATCAATTATTAATTACAATACCACTTGAATTTTATAATACAATAAGAATATATGTAACTACTATTCAGAAAAATATTTTGAAATAAGAATTTGACCGCTTTTAAGTCTTATGGTTTTACCACTTTTAATCAACTCGTTTATGATGTTCACATTTTCAGCAATAAATTGTTAATGCTACCATTGATTATAGAAATCTATAATCAATGATATTTCGTTAATAAGACATAACTAATAACGTACACTACGTTATTATACCCGTTACACACCGTAGATACAAGCACAACTGTTGATTTTACGGCATAATAATGCATATGTTCATTTATGATAGTCAACCGGTTCTTAGGATAACATTTAATACATTCTTATTTATCCGACTTTAAGTTACCCAAGTACAATTATTTTTACTTTTAACTTATCTTCATTGGTATTGTTTGAAGTGTGTATAGGGATTTCCTAGAAACAAGAAAAAAATCCCGTTATCGAGACTCAACTGTATGTCTGTATACGTGACGTTGACAATGATACTTTTCGTGGAATCTTATTTCATTATCTGATTGTGTATTCGTTCAGAGAATAAAAAGAACAAAGGGATTCTACTCTCTCGTGACAGGACCATGGGTAGGTGAGGTATCGTACTCGAAATCGAACAATGATTTAATTGTGTGTTTAAATTATGTTAAATAATTATAAATTTGTTTTTTAAATATGTTACATATATTCAATTTAATTTATTTTTCCAAATAACATAGGGACATAGCTATTGTATGTTTTCATTATACTTTTTTCATTGGAATGGAATTGAATTTAATGTGTTTTTTGTGCTAATGATACTATTCTAAACAAACACAGCTATAAAATAAAGAAAACATTGTATGGATTACAATTTTTAACGCTCTTATTCCACTATGATATAAATGTTTTTTTAAAATATCTTGAACTATATTGTTTACTTTGCTCATAGTGGGTTGCAGAGCAATGAATAAAAAACTGCTCGAACATGAGTGTAGTACTGTTGTACCCAAGAGCTTGATTATTAATACACTTTTCTCCTAATATTATAAGAAAATATTATAGTCTTAGTACAGTTTATTTACTTAAACCGCATCTTACTGGAACGTTGTATAATAATAAAAATATTTGCTTTGATTTTGTTGTTTCATATTTTTATACATTACCTTCATATATTCTATAGGCTTAAAAGCATATAATTATAAAAAATTTCTACACTATGCCTTTCATAAATTATTTATATTTTATATTTTTATATATTCTATGCTCGACTTGGAAAAATTAAAAAAGGGAGACTCTATTTATTTAAAAAAAAAGAGCGTCCCCAAAACTTGTTAAGCGTTATAATTATAACATAATAATAGTAGGGGGACGCTAAAATTTCTGAAAATTATTTGGGGTACTCCGTCCCCTTGCGTCCCCCCTCAAGTCGAGCACTGTATATATTCCCTCTTTATAACTTTTAATTATTGACGATGAGTACTTTTATGTAGGTTCTCTGAAAGTGAGAAAGGCATTGGTTACCTCCACGTAGTCTTTCTTGGGTGTATCTTTCACTAAGAAGGTTTAGAGTGTAAAACGTATTGAACGCCAACATCTATATATACACACCTATTATAAAGTATTCACTTATGACACAATTTTTTTTTTTTTTTTTAGAAAACATCAAGGAAGATTTATCCCCATTTTTATAGCTTTTTGTGTGCAGGTTAACGTTGTATATATATTCATTAATTATTATTGAAAGAATACATTATGTGTTAGGTCTTCTTTCTTTGAACCGACGATACTGTATTTGAATGTTTTTTTACTTTGATAATTCCATATTTCAAAAAATGTCCAGTTCTCTAGCGTTTATGAGGATTATAAATTGTTGTATTTATTGTATTTAACATACTTTAAATAAAAGTGTCCCTTCGTTAGGTTAAGTTACTGGAGAACACACTTATAATGTTTTTGTAATCATAAATATATGCATATTTATACCTTTTTTTTAATTCTATGCCTGTCTATTAAATATAATAAATAATACATATATTTAATCTTTAACTGTTGTTAAGAAGACACATAACGTTCTACGGGTATTATTATTATGCTTGATTATTTTCAAATACACTGCGGTTTGCCCTCTGCTATTTGATTTTTTTCATACATAATATATATAATGGTTTTTATATGTATGACATCACATATCTGCTAGATAGCGAACGCCTTTGACGCCAAAGGCGTATCAGTTTTCCACCCGTATATTATCAAAAGTAATAGTTATCACAAGAGGGAACCGTGATAGTATTGCATGATAAATTGTGCACAAAAATGTTTTCGATATTATTAATTCATATTATTAATATTAATATTTAATTACTAATATAAAATATGTTAAACGAATTTCACCCGAAACGAGGCACAAAGAAGCTAGTATATTATTACATTATTTTATTTTATTTTATGAAACACCGAGTTATCGTTGTTCATGTGATTTAAGCACGGAGAAAATATTGCTTGTCCTAACCGCACAGTCTTTAGTTCACAATATTAAAATTCAATTAAATACACAATTTATCCGTTATGACTAAGGTTCAAAGGGTTCTTAAAATAGTCGAAGGACAAAGAACCCATTGTGTATTGTATCATAATAATTAATAGGTCTGTTAATAATCATTTTATTGTTATCTAATCCAGCGATTCCCAAACTTTTTCCGCCACAGAGCCTTTTTTTTAAGCAGTATTTTCTCGTGGAGCATCAAGAAATATTTAGTATTAAGTTTTATTTGCCTGCGTTCTACAAAGCATATTACACATGATATGTATTTATATAGAAGGAAATTCAAAACGAAACTGTACATTTAATATTATTATATACAAATTATTATACAATTATATATTAATATTATTATATACAATATAACTGGCCTAGAAATTACTGGAATGGGAATGCGTATTATCTAAAATTAAAAATTATATTTTCTTATCAATATTTTAATATTGTTCCATACGTGTCAGTATATTATATTTAAGTT